TCAACAGGAAATGGTCTGTGTTTTCCCATTGTACTGTAACTAGTTTCTTCTCTGGGATTTCAGGAAAAAGGAGATATTGTGTGTGCCCTAATATCAATGTGCTTACAGACCAGCCTGTGCTTTGGTATAAGGTGGTTTTCTGCGATTTGTAGGATGCATTTGTGCTTCTTATAATAGGATGTGCAACTAACCATCTACTTGAAACTATTTTCTGGTGAATTAACTTTGCTTTTTATGTGATTGTTATCTCTGTAAGGCCATAGAATAGAGAAACGAATTCTGTCAGACAGCTCCTGAGTATTCTAATCATCAAGATAAACTTATTTTTATTGGGTTGCCTGTGAACAAAACAGAGATAACTATAATACTTATCTTCAACCACTGTGCACGCGCCATTATGTAACTCTACCCATGTATAAACATCAGTGTCCCCAGACGCGTAGTGCTATCAGGAGTGGACTTCTGTTCAAGTTGATGCAATTTCAGTTGCCTGAGGCAAGTAGTTAACCAGGGTTGACTTTCCAGTGACAGCTTTTTCAAACAGAAGTTTTCTGTAGAGATTTCGTTTTAAAGGCCTTAGGTCTGCAAAACTGAAGCATTGCTTAATGTATGCATAGAGGACACCCACCGCTGATACATGTCATAATTCCACAGAGTCATACAACACAGGCAGCAGAGATATGTTTTTGCAAAAGGATATCTAATTTCTTACCAGTGATCTTTCAAGTGATTTTGGAGGCTGATGGCCATCCTCAGACAAAGGCTGAGGAAAGCATGAACTTTATAGTCATTGCTTCACAAGCTGGCCTGGTTCAGGTGTGAACTCAGAAAATACGATACTCTTGGGGATTTTGGAAAAGTTCATGAAAGCTTTTGGAAATTCTAGAAGGTTTTTATCCAGAAGGAAAATGTTAGGTGTAAACGTGTGGTTTGCTGGCCTTAGCTGTAGCTTGGTGGCTAGGAAACAGGGACAGGTGAGCTGAAGCTTCAGAGATGATGTGTCCTTTCATACCTCGTCTCTACTTGCAGGAGAAATAAATTAAGTAGAAGGTAAACCAGCAGTTGATGTTTGATTCTTCCTTTTTTGCAACAGAAGATTGATATCCTTTAATTTTCTGTAAAATCTTTAGTGTTTGAGGATTTCAGAAGAATGACAAATACTAAAACAAAACAAAAAAAAATCTCGTAGTATTTTCGTTTTATAGAGGGAAGCAGAGGCACAAAAAAGTAACCGATATCTCTGGCTTTATGAAAGACAAAGCATGGAATAGAGGCGGCAATAACCAGGATTCCTGAGTAACAGAAATACTAATGCTGAAGATAATTTACAGAGATTTCATAAATAAACCAACTTGTCTGTAAGCAAAGAATGGTGCTGCTGTTGTAACTGTTCTTCTGAAATAGTACCTGTTTCTTGAAATGGATATTAATAATCCAGGGGAATGAGTGTTGGGTCAGGGAATTGCATCCTACAGTACCGTCCCCAGTAAGCCTGCCAGTTCTTTTTGTCTTTGATCATAAGCTCCTTTTGTCTATATTATATAACAAACAGAAGTCACAGAGAGATGGGTGACTTCAATCAAACTTAATGATGACAGTTTACTTCCTGAGCATGGCAGCATATTTATTTATATCTACATATATATGGGTGTGTGTGTGTTAAAAAACAAACAAACAAGAACTACTTTTGGTTTTGTCTTTTAGAATCCCCTTTCTTGTGCTTCTCATTTTCAGCTGAAAGGGAAATTGTCAAAATATGATATGACTTCGAGATTTTTGTCTCGGCTCTCCCTTCTCTTCTTTGGTGCTTTGGAATGATACTGTTTGTGACTCCTTTTGCTAGTTTCTCAGCGTCCTTCTCTTCAGTCTTTGATTGCTATCTAGTCAGGTAGTATTTACCATTTAGCCTGCAGAAAAGGAGGCTGAGGGGAGACCTCATCGCTCTCTACAACTACCTGAAAGGAGGTTGTAGCGAGGTGGGGGTCGGTCTCTTCTCCCAAGTAACAAGCGATAGGACAAGAGGAAATGGCCTCAAGTTG